GTCCTTAATGTGTTATACTATAAGAATTAACAGTATAACTAGTATTCAACAGTACTTTATACTTTGTGTGTCTCTGTGGGTGCAGTCTGTTGAAATCTTTACTTAGTATATACTAGTTGATCTTCTGTACATAAAGACAATTAAAAATAAATCTTAATGAAGACTAGGATGGGAGAGAGAGTAGGAGATGGGATGGTTTGCTGGTGGGAGGGTGGTTATGGGGGGAAGAACCGTTATAATCCAAAAGTTGTACTTTTGAAATTTATATTTATTAAATAAAAGTTTTCTATTAAAAGATAAATAAATAAAAAACTGTCCTCAAGTTTCTGATTCACATCAGAAGGAATGTTGCAGTTGGTATCAGGACTCAGTGCAGAGGAAATTACATGGCAGCGTGGAGAAGGACACACCATTCCCCAGGAAGGACAGTGGGCACCTTCCTCGTCTGTCCTGCTTTCTGTGATAAGGGGTGGGGGGTATTCGGGGACAGGTGGGGAGTGAGGTGAAGCTTCCTTTCAAAGATAAACCACTCTGGGGCCAGCGCTGTGGTGTAGCAGTTAAAGCCACTGCCTGCAGTTCTGGCATCCCATATGGGTGCCAGTTCAACTCCCGGCTGCTCCACTTCCAATCCAGCTCTCTGCTATGGCCTGGGAAAGCCATAGAAGATGGCTCAGGTCCTTGGGCCCCTGCACCTGCATGGGAGACCCGGAAGAAGCAGCCAGTTGGGGAGTGAACCAGCGGATGGAAGACCTCTCTCTCTGCCTCTCCTTCTCTGTGTAACTCTGACTTTTAAATAAATAAATAAATCTTAAAAAAAAAAAAAAGATAAACCAGTGCCATAGCTCACTGATGCTCAAGATGGCTATGTGGTTCTTTGTGCCTCTTTCCAGGTTGGGATACTAGAGGAAGTGGTTGTGCTAGGTCTTTAAGCTCTCCTGGTAAGCTTCCTGGTGTGGGATGGCAGATGAGATTAGGAAATGGATAGTCAAAAGAAGAAGGGAGCAGGTACGCTCAGGTGATAGGTAGCTTTGGTTGAGTTGAAAGGAAGACATTTGTCCTAAGTTCTGCTGTTGCTCTAGGCTTTGTGTGGAATGACAGGGTGGTATAAGACACATGCTGGTAAGAGGTGGCCCTGAGAAAAGTCAAAGCCATTTACAGATTCAAAAGATTAGTCCCTGCCCCCCATCTCCATTCATCACCCATAAAAAGAAGTGATTTGAAATAAACTGAAGTTCAAGGAGAAAATACTGTCAGGGTTGTGATGTCTTTTCAAGAGAGCCATTGCCCTACCTCTACCCTGTCCTTGTGACTCGTACACTGTGTTCCAGGAATGGTCCACGTGTTGGAGACAACCCTGCCACTGAAGGGATTTAATAAAGTCCCCTGAAATTTTCCTAGGCAGAGCTGTAAAATCTCAGAATCTAAGAGATCATTCCAGCCACACTAAATGGGACTCACAGGGTGAGTCACAGAATTCATATTTTTAAAAAAGTCCCTGGGTTCTGACTTACTTGAAAATCTGTCTCAGACCTACTACTAGAGCAGGCAAATAGTCTTATTTGTCCCAGCTACCAAGCTTCTTTCTCCACTGTGAGGGTGTGGATATGACAAAGGTTTGGTGTGGACTCTGAAGCACAAACCAAAGACCTTCAGTTTAGGAGACTCAGCAACAGCCTGTTACAATAAGGAGGCTCTCAGACCAGTGTCTCCAAATAATATCCAGACTCTAATCCTTTAAAGTGTCCATGTCTAAAAGAATTCTGAGAAAAACAAATTTCTGACTGTGCAGGCCCATGCTGAAATTTTAAAAAGAAAATTGGTTTATTTGAAAGGCAGAGATACAGAGAGATAGGAAGAGAGAGAGCTCTTCCATTTACTGGTTCATTCCCCAGATGGCTGCAATGGCTGGGGCTGGGCCAGGCTGAAGCCAGGAGCCAGAACTCCATCTGGATGGCATAGCAGGTAAAGCCACCGCCTGCAGTTTCAGCACCCCAAATGGGGGCTAGATCAAGTCCCAGCTGCTCCTCTTCTGATCCAGCTCGCTGCTGTGGCCTGGGAGAGCAGTGGAAGGTGGCCCATGTTCTTGGGCCCCTGCATTCGTGTGGGAGACCTGGAAGAAGCTCCTGGCTTCTGGCTTTGGATCTGTTCAGTTCCGGCCATTGTGGCCAATTGGGGATTGAACCAACAGATGAAAGACACACACACACTCACTCTCTCTCTCTCTCTCTCTCTCTCTCTCTGCCTCTCCTTCTCTCTGTGTGTAACTCTTTCAAATAAAATAAATCTTTTTTAAAAAATAAAATGTGAATGAAAACTTCTCTAGGGCATTTGAATTCTAAAGACCTCACGATGTGATTTGTATAATGCTTTGGAAAAGGGAAGTGGTCACTGGATAATGACAGAACATACACATATACAAATTGAAAAACATTTGAAAGCATTTTAAAGACCCAAAGAACTTCATCTTATGGATCCTTTTGGGGACATTAATTCTGTCTGCCAACCTTCCTGCATCAGATTGTCAAGATCCAAGATTGGTGAAGACAGGAAACTGTGGGCAAACTTGCATCAGTGACAGTTTATTTCTTGTATAATTTTCACAATCAGACTTTTTTTAATCTTGTTTATTATTTCTGCCAATAATATCCTTTATGGATCAAATGAATATTGATGATATCAGTATTTTCTAAGCTAAATCATAAGGAGAAAGTAAACTTTTTTTTCAGATTGGAAGTCTGAGGAAAGGGGAAAAGAGGAGAGAGGATGGAGTGTGAGAAGAGGACGTCGAGGTTATGAGGGAGCAGTGAGAGATGTCTGAGAGGGTAAAAGGGAAGAGGAACAATGGGGAAAGGCAGAAAACAGATGAGCTAGTGTTGTGGCACAGTGCATTAAGCCACCTCCTGTGATGCCAGCATCCCATGTGGGTGCTAGCTTGAGTCCTGGCTGCTCCACTTCCAATCCAGCTCCCTGCTAATCTGACTGGGAAAGCAGCAGAAGACAGCCTGTGTACTTGAGCCCCTGGTACTTGGCTTTGGACTGGCCATCCCCAGCTATTATAGCCATTTGGGGAGTGGTTGGAGGATGTCTGTCTGTCTCTCCCTCTCTCTCTCTGTAACTCTGCTTTCAAATAAATAAATATTGTTTTGTAAAAAAAAAAGTGAAATCTCAGGGCCAGTGTTGTGGCGTGATGGATAAAGTAGCGATCAGCACTGCTGGCATCCCATACAGGTGCCAGTTTGAGTCCCAGCTGCTCCTCTTCTGATCCTGCTCTCTGCTGTGGCCTGGGAAAGCAGAAGATGATGGCTCAAGTCCTTGAGCCCCTGCACCCACGTGGGAAACCCGGAGGAAGCTCCTGGCTCCTGGCTCCAGATTGGCACATCTCCGGCCATTGTGGGCAACTGGGGAGTGAACCAGCAAATGGAAGAGTCTCATTCTCATTCTCTCTCTCTCTCTCTGCTTCTCCTCTCTCTGTGTAACTCTTTCAAATAAATAAACAAATCTTTTTTAAAAAAGTGAAATGAAACATAAGATTTAAAAGCTCAGCCAGCGCCGTGGCTCACTAGGCTAATCCTCCCCCAGTTCTAGTCCCGGTCGGGGCGCCAGATTCTGTCCAGGTTGCTCCTCTTCCAGTCCAGCTCTCTGCTGTGGCCTGGGAGGGCAGTGGAGGATGGCCCAAGTACTTGGGCCCTGCACCCGCATGGGAGACCAGGAGGAAGCACCTGGCTCCTGGCTTCGGATTGGTGCAGCGTGCCGGCCGCAATGCACTGGCCGTAGCGGCCACTTGGGGGTGACCCAATGGAAAAAGGAAGACCTTTCTCTCTTTCTCTCTCTCTCTCTCTCTCTCTCTGTCTAACCCTGCCTGTCAAAAAAAAAAAAAAGATTTAAAAAAGCTCACACTTCTGGATACTTGTTGTAGTCCACACATTGTTTTTAGTGTTCATTCATTCTCTCCTTCCCACTCCTCCCTCCTTTCTCTTTCTCTCTTTCTCTCTTTCTCTCTTTCTCTCTTTCTTTCTCTCTCTCTCTCTCTCTCCTTCTCTCTTTGCATGCATTCACACACACACATTTACACAAGGGTTCTTCCAAAAGTTCATGGAAAATGGAATTAAAAGATAAGATTATTTTGGTGCCAGAAACTCCAAAATCCATGTGCACTTTTTCATTACATGCATTTTCTATGAACTTTTTGAGGATGCCCTGTGTGCATGGAGTTCAAACATTTTTGCACCAAGATAAACATTTTTTAATCCCATTATCCGTGAACTCTATGGAGTTCCTCATATGTTAAAGTCACTGGGGCTGGCGCTATGGCATAGCAGGTAAAAGCACTGCCTGCGGTACCAGCATCCCATATGGGCACCAGTTCAGGTTGCGGCTGCTCCACTTCTGATCCAGCTCTCTGCTGTGGCCTGGGAAAGCAGTAGAGGATGACCCAGGTCCTTGGGCCCCTGCACCCATGTGGGAGACCCGGAAGAATTTCCTGGCTCCTGAAATAAGCTCCTGGCTCCTGGTTTCAGATCGGCGCAGCTCTGGCTATAGCAGCCAATTGGGGAGTAAACCAGCGGATGGAAGACCTCTCTCTCTGCCTTTCCTTCTCTCTTTGTGTAACTCTGACTTTATTGAGAGGTAGTGGGGCCTTTAAGAGGTGTTAGGGATGTGGGGGCACTGCCTTCAAGAAGGGATTAATATAGTTCTCATGAGAGTAGTTACCACAAGAGTGAACAGTCATAAAGCAAGTTTATCTCCCTGTTCTGTCTTGCATGTCAGCCCTTCTGCCTTTTCCACCATGAATTGAAGCAGCATGTGGCACTCACTAGAAGTTGAGCAAATCCTGGTGCCATGCTCTTGGGCTTTCCAGTCTCCCGAACTATGGGCCAAAATAAACCTCTTTATAAATTACCATCTCTCAATTATTCTGTTACAGTGACAGAAAACAGACTAACACAATGCCTATGGCAATACTATCAGGTAAGTACTGTTAATGTTATCTCTTTTTACAGATGAGGAAATGACAGCACATAGAGTTTAAGAGGCTAAGTAATGGGGCCAGTGTTGTGGCATAGCTTGTGACACCAGCATCCCATTTGGGCATTGGTTCGAGTCCCGGCTGCTCCTCTTCAAATCCAGCTCTCTGCTACGACCTGGGAAAGCATCAGAAAATGGCCCAAGTCCTTGGGCCCCTGCACCCATGTGGAGACTCAAAAGAAGCTCCTGGCTCCTGGCTTTGGACTGTCCCAGATCAAACCATTGAAGCAATTTGGGGAGTGAACCAGTGGATGGAAGACTCTCTCTCTGCTTCTGTAACTTCGCCTTTCAAATAAATAAATAAATCTTTAAAAAATTCAAAGAGGCTAAGAACTTGCTCAAAGTTACCTGACTAGCAAGGGCAGAATCAGATTTCTGCCCAGGCTAGAGAGAAACATAAAGAGACACGGAATCCAATCCCAAAGCTCTAGAATGCACTGCAGGGTCAATGTTTTCTGGATCAAAAGGCAGGTGGAAATGTTCAACAGCATTAATCAGATTAATCAGATTCCTTGTGTTTGTGGATGGATTTAATGCAGTGACAGACATAGAAACATCCGTAGGCTTACTATTCAAATGGCTGCAACAGCCAGGTCTGGGCCAGGCCGAAGCCAGGAGTCAGGAATTTCATTCTGGTCTCCCATATGGGTGGCAGGGGCCCATGTACTTGGGTCATCTTTTGCTGCCTTCCCAGGTGCGTTAGCAAAAAGCTGGATTAGAAATAGAGAAGCCTGGGGCCAGTGTTGTGGTTTGGTGGGCAAAGCTGCCACCTGGGACACCAGCATCCTGTAGGGGCACTGGTTCAAGTCCCAGCTGCTCCACTTCCTAGTTCTTGGACCCCTGCACTCATGCAGGAGACCCAGAAGAAATTTTTTTTTTTTTTTTTTTATTTTTGACAGGCAGAGTGGACAGTGAGAGAGAGAGAGAGAGAAAGGTCTTCCTTTTGCTGTTGGTTCACCCTCCAATGGCTGGCACATCGCACTGATCCGAAGGCGGGAGCCAGGTGCTTCTCCTGGTCTCCAATGCGGGTGCAGGGCCCAAGCACTTGGGCCATCCTCCACTGCACTCCCTGACCACAGCAGAGAGCTGGCCTGGAAGAGGGGCAACCGGGACAGAATCTGGCACCCCGACCGGGACTAGAACCCGGTGTGCCGGCGCCGCAAGGTGGAGGATTAGCCTATTGAGCCGCGGCGCCGGCCAGAAGAAATTCTTGACTCCTAGCTTTAACCTGGCCCAGCCCTGGCCATTGCAGTCATCTCGGGAGTGAACCCGTGAATGGAAAAATCTGTTTCTGTCTCTCCCTGTCTCTGTAACTGTGCCTTTCAAATAAATAAAAATAAATCTCAAAAAAAAAAGATAAATTTTTCAAAAAAGTGTAGCAGCCAGAACTCAAACCAGTGCTCTGATATGGGATGCCAGCCTCACAGGCAGCAGCTTAACCCACTGCTCCATAATGCTGGCACCAGTGTGAAGTTTAAATAATATGGAGTCGAGGCCAGCGCCGTGGCTCACTTGGTTAATCCTCCACCTGCGGCGCCGGCATCCCATATGGGCACCGGGTTCTAGTCCCAGCTGCTCCTCTTCCAGGCCAGCTCTCTGCTGTGGTCTGGGAAGGCAGTGGAGGATGGCCCAAGTGCTTGGGCCCTGTGCCCGCATGGAAACCAGGAGGAAGCACCTGGCTCCTGGCTTTGGATCGGCGCAGTGCGCCGGCCGTAGCGGCCATTTGGGGTGTGAACCAATGGAAGGAAGACCTTTCTCTCTGTCTCTCTCTCTGTCTATAACTCTACCTGTCAAATTAAAAATAATAATAATAATAATATGGAGTCAATACATGGAAAGCAGGAAGGATGGTTTCTGGTCCACATCAAGCTTTGCATATGTGTTTTCTGCCATCAACATCAGCAGCAACATCCTTGTCAATGTTATCATTATGAAAAATTGCTTTGGAATAATGGTAAACAAATGAAACAGCAGATTTAATGTCATGAAGATATTACCTCTCTCTAATCTCATAATTTTTTAATAAATGCATAGAAAAAGACTAAAAGGTATTATAGTACATATTACATGTTTTTCCATACATGTAAGACTCAGATAATTTTCAAGGAACATTCTTTTCACTGTTTTATTTGCTTTTTAGTCATTATTATAACTCAACCACTATTTCTATTGTAATTTTTCAAAAGTTTTTTCTGAAGACTGTTAAGTGTCTTGTTTTTTAAAGATTTATTTACTTGAAAGGAAGACATACAGAGAGAAAAGGAGGGAGGGGGAGAGAGAGATTTTCCACGTGCTGGTTCACTACCCAAATGGCCGCAACAGCCAGGGCTATGCCAGGCCAAAGCCAGGAGCCAAGAGCTTCTTCTGGGACTCCCATGTGGGTGTAGGGGCCCAAGCAACAGACAGGGCTGGGCCAGACTGGACTCTAAGCAGTGCCCCACAGGGGGTGCCCGCACTGCAGGGAGCATTGTAGACAGTGCCTTAACCAGCTATGCCACAAAGCCAGCCCCTACAAAATTATTTCTTGGATAAGTTGAGAAGAAAGGAAAAAAATGCATATTTGTTTTTTTATATTTATGTAATTGCCTTTACCTGTGATCAGGGGTGATTTGTTTCAGCCAGAAGAACTCCCTTTAGGCTTTCTCATAAGGAAGGTATGTTAGCAACAAGTTCTCTTTGTTTAATGGGAATGACTTTATTTTGTTTTCATGTTAAAGTGATAGTCTTCTGGATAAAGGAGTCTTAATTGACAGTATTTTTCTTTTTTAAAAAACACATATGAATCACTGTGTCATCCAGTTCCTATTCAGAAAAGCTCCAAAAAAAAAAAAAAAAGGAAGAAAAAGCTCTAGTCCATCTTTTATTTTTTTTATAAATTCCTGACATTACATAGCTAAACCTAAATGTATTAATATTCTTTTATGTTTCCATGACAAACAGAAAAATTCATGAACTAAAAAAAAAAAAACACCAAAACCATACAGAGAGAAGCTTATAAAACTAAATATGGATCTCAGCATTTACAGCTAAACAGAGAAAGGAATTAAAATGCTTTAATTTAAAAATCACAGGTGGATAACAAAGTGGGTAGAAACTGAAAGTTTACAGATGATTTAAAACTGGGAATTTCAGACTGTTTAGAAACTACACAGGCAGATCATGGGTGATGGAGAACAACAGAAAGGGATGATGCATGACTCTGCATCATTCTAGTGACGCCCCATGCCACCCATCTCTGAGGAAAATCTGCTGCTGATTAGATTTTTGAGGCAGGCTAATGCTTGCAGCAGATCCGAGTGAGTAACCTGCCTGTCAGTGTTTGCAATTTTGCTCTGCACCCCAGACATCTGATGAATCTCACTGATTTTGGTACGACAGAGTAACCTCAGTCCTTTTTTTTTTTTTTAAGATTTATTCATTTATTTGAAAGAGTTACAGAGGGAGGGAGGCAGAGAGAGAGAATCATCCAGATGTCCGCAACAGCCAGGGCTAGGCCAGACCAAAGCCAAGAGCCAGGAGCTTCTTCCAGGTCTCCCACATGGGTGGCAGGGGCCCAAGCACTTGGGCCATCTTCCACTGCTTTTCCCAGGCCATTAGCAAGGAGCTGGATCAGAAGTGAAGCAGTCAGGACTTGAGCCTGAGCCCATATGGGACGCTGGCCTTGCAGGCAGCAGCTTTACACCCTACACCACAGTGCTGCCAATCCTGTCCCTGTTCTTGGCTTCCCTTTCCCAGTGTGAAACCAACTAGGACAACATGGATAGGAGTCTGTTTGCAGCAGTGCTGCACCAGAGATGGAGCCTCTAGCCCACCACTGGGGGTTAGGCTGAAAGAGGGGAACCCTTGCGTCTTAGTTGCACTTGCCTAGAACATAGCTTCAACAACAGGCAGTTGGAAGAAAATGAGAAATGCCGATACCATCCCCTGCCTGAAATGATAGCTCTCATGCTGGGAGGCAGTGGGAAGAGGGAGCCCCTTTGCGCTCTTAGCTACACCAGTCTGGAGTGTAGTTTACTTCTTGCGAAGTAAAATATAAGAGGAAGGGAGCCAATGTTGGTTCAGACATCAGGAACTCACATGCCCTTCTGAGGCTGTGGTAGATTTCCTTGATAAATGTTTCTTCTTGGGGCCGGCACTATGGTGTAGCAGGTAAAGCTACCGCCTGCAGTGCCAGCATCCCATATGGGTGCCAGTTCGAGTCCCAGCTGCTCCTCTTCTGATCCAGCTCTCTGCTATGGCCTAGGTGAGCAGTAGAGGATGGCCCAAGTCCTTGAACCCCTGCCCCCGCGTGGGAGACCCAGGGGAAGCTCCTGGCTTCAAATCAGTGCAGCTCAGGCCATTGCAGCCAATTGAGGAGTGAACCAGCAGATGGAAGATCTCTTTCTCTCTATGTCTCTCCCTCTTTCTCTGTACCACTGCTTTTCAAATAAAGAAATAAATCTTTTAAAAAATTCAGTTTATAAAGGGCTATGGAGGGGCCAGTGCTGTGGTGTAGCAGGTAAAGCTGCCACCTGTGGTACTGGCATCCTGGCTGCTCCACATTCGATCCAGCTCCATCCTAATGTGCCTGAGAATGCAGTGGGGGATGGCCCAAGTCCTTGGGCCCCTACACCCATTTGGGAGACCCAGAAGAAGCTCCTGGCTCCTGGCTTCGAATCTGCCCAACTCAGGACTGTTGTAGCAGTTTGAGGAGTGAACCAGCAGATGGAAGATCTGTAATTCTGCTTTTCAGAAAAATAAACAAATCTTTTTTTAAAAAAAGATTGGAAATTTTGGTAGAAACTGCTTTGAGTCAGGGAGAGAATTGAAATATTCTCAACTTTGATATTTCCAATACATTAACATGTTATTTATTTGTGTTTGCTTTAATTTTTAACAGTGACTTGTAGATTTCTGTGTATATTTTATTCTTTTTAAAGATTTATTTATTTTGGGGGCCGGCGCTTTGGTGCAGCAAGTTAACGCCTTGGCCTGGAGCACCAGCATCCCATGTGGGCGCCAGTTCGAGACCTGGCTGCTCCACTTCCGATCTAGCTCTCTGCTGTGGCCTGGGAAGGCAGTGGAAGATGGCCCAAGTTCTTGGGCCCCTGTACCGGTGTGGGAGGCATGGAGGAGACTCCTGGCTCCTGGCTCCAGATCAGTGCAGCTCTGGCCATTGCGGCCAATTGTGGGGTGAACCAGCGGAGGGAAGACCTTTCTCTCTCTCTCTCTGCCTCTCCTCTCTCTGTGTAACTCTGACTTTCAAATAAATAAAACTTTAAAAAAAAGATTTATTTTTTTTTTATTTTCAGAAACCTGGAACTCCATCTGGGTCTCCCATGT